TCCAGGATGGAAAGGTGGGAGAGACAGTGATAAACGGAGTGTTAAACGTGGGAGGGCGCTGGTGCCTGTGAGGAAGTTTCGACCTAATGTTACGACTGACTGTCGAGCGAGTAAGTGGAGATGAGCGAGGCAGGCAGGAGCGCCGACGAGCTCTGATCGCAGTGAGACTGGAGCGGAGCTCAACAGGCAGGACTGGAGACAAGTTGTGTATTGAGCGAAGTATCTACAGAGCGAAATACACGATGGCTTACCTGGAGACAAGAGGTCGAAACTAGAGTCTCCAGGTAGCAAGGGATCCAGCTATATACAGGGAACGAACAATGGGCGCTAGAGAACAATAGTGTCGCCATGGGTACGGAGTACAAGGGGTGTAGGACAATAGCGGACGTGGGAACAAAGGGAGCTATTGTCCGTGTGTGGACAAAGGGAAACCGTAGCGAGTAGTGAACAATAAGGAAACGTACGAGGCAGTGGTCCGAATCGAAAAGGAAACGTAGCGCCGTGAGGGCGGTTCGTGACAGGAGACACGCCTGCGAGAATGGGAGCGGGATCTATGCCGCCTGTGAGGCCTCCCCTTGGAGCGTCCTTGCTTGCGCGGGGAAGCCGACCGGCAGTAATTGCGTGAGGAGGTGCGGCGGTAGTCGCGCGAAGAACGGCGACGGCTTCGAGACTTGTGAGGGCGGCGTGGTAGGGGGGGGTACGACGATTGTTGCTGAGGGGGAGGAGGAGGGGGAGGCATTGGCGATGGCGGGCGATGCGGGACCGCTGGCTCTCGCGCAGGAGTTCGTTGTGGGCCAAGGTATGCCAGGTCAGCATCCGGATCGTCTTCGAGCTCGGCATCTTGGGCGGCAGCCCATTTGTCGAGGAAAAGCCTGCCAGTCGGGTCTGTTGTTGCTATTAGTAGAATGTGGAACAGCTGCATTAGTGAAAAGTGTCATACCTTGTGCTTGGGAGTCAGCGAGGGGGCGCGACGCAACAGTGTCAGCACCTATTTGGTGGAGAGGACGATCGGGCGCGTCGGATGGGCGTCTGGGCTCAGTGTGCACTGCCGATGCACGATGAGCATTCCGAGGGCATTCAGACACAGCCCCACAGCTCCAAGAAGCACGGGCTTCTACAGGACGACTGCGGGGCCGACCCGATTGACCAGCAGACCGCCGATCACGATCAGAAAAAAACGTGTTGATCCTTGGCGCGACTGTGGGATCGTTCTCGGTGGTGGAATTGTCCTCGGTTGCGCGACCGGCCTCTTTCATCGTGTCGGCGTTCTTTGGGCAGGTAGTTGCTTGCACAATCTTGGCGTGTATGGTGCTTCATGGAGTTGTCGGTGTGTGAGGTTGTTTTGGAGGAAGTTTGAGGAGAACGGGATCCGAGATACCTGCGACGGTGAAGGTGACTATATGCGTGCATGTATGCATGCATATATGCAGCAGGAACGTGCACTTACCTAGGTGAGTGGCGCTTTCGGCTGTCGTTCCCCCCCATGAGTAAATGCAGAAAGCATGATGGACAGAGAGGAATGGATTGACGTCTTCGAGAAGTGTCCCGAGGATGAGAGTTGAGGCCTTGTTGGTCTTCAAAACTGTATCAGACTTGCGTTTCTCGGTAGCGACAAGACTGATGAGAGGGAGGAAAACAGTTGTCCCTCCGATAGTGATGGTCTAGAATGAAGATGGGACTTGAAGCAAACGGGTGCGTTCTGAGGCTTTTGAGGATTGGCAAGAAGAGAGCGAACACCTCTCCACAAAAGGGAAATGACGCGATTGGCAATGCGTCTGGGCGTCAGATCGTAATGCCACGCCAGTCATGTGATCGCGCACGGCCCATGCAGGGTTGGCTGAGATGTCGTCTCCGATGCCCTCCTGTCTCTCCAGCTGCCCTCCTGTCCTCAACCGCCAGTGGGCCCCTCATGCGCATCCTCGGCATCGCGCTCACATTTTTTCTCGTTTTAATGGCTCATTTGTGCGAAGAATGCGGCTCCTCGTTCAAGGACGTCGCCCGCCACCGCGCCAACTGCACCAGCGCGCACGACATGCTCGCCAGTGGCCTCAAAAGACGCGTCCAGGAGAGCGAACATCGCGAGGCAGTCCGTTCGGTTAAGAAGCAGCAATGGGTCGATCGAAAGCGGGCTGAGATTGTGGAATGCAAGAGAAAGGATGCCGACAGGCGGGCCCAGTTAGAGGCAAGTTGTTTGATATCTCACCTGAAGCTCCTCTGACCGCATATATGCAGGCTGAACGGGCCGCAAGCATGCCCATTTTTCCTGAATTTGAAAGCCAACGCTCAGGACGTAAACGGCGAATACCTGTTGCATTCCGAGACATGGTGCCGTCTTCGCTCAGGGGACTGCCGAGCTACCTTACCCCCGCTCCTGCTCCGCCTCCCATCGCCAGCCCGCCGCACATGGAACTGGCTCCGCCTCCATTCGAGCTACCTGCCGACGTCCAGGAGGCTCTGCCATCCAGATTTCCACAACGGCGGCCAGCGGACTACGTCGAGGATGCGCCTGAAGAAGCCGAGAGGGAACCTCCTCCCCAAGGATATCCGCCCCATACAATGGATCTTCCTGAAGACATGCGCCCTCCTCCATACATCGACACCGCACCAAATGCGTTTGGAGTTTTCCGCCGCTACACGTCCCTTCCCAAGAGGGACCCAGAGGAGGGCCTAACTCTGGCAGATTTCGCGGACGCTGCCACCCACCTGCGTCCTCCGCCCGACCGGCGCGAGCGCAATCCACTCAAGTCTTTCGGCGCGACTATTGCCCACGGCCTGGCGCATGCCCGAGACATGGCTGCGCGGTCATATGCACCGTTCCTCAACTGGAGTGTTTTCAGTCTCATGAGTTGGCAGTACAGCGGCTCTGTCACGAAGTCCACCGCTGAACTTCAACGCCTCGTGAACGACGTCCTTCTCGATCCCCGCTTTGAGAAGGACGACCTCCTCGGCTTCAACGCCCCTCGAGAGAAGCATCGCCTCGACGGATATCGAACGACCTCAGGCGCGTTTTCCGCGAACGACGGATGGCATGAGCTAGAGGTTGAGCTTCACCTCCCCAAGGAACGCGTCATGCACGACAGCGAGGCGTCCACTGAGTCCTTTTTCGTTCATGGCATCTGGGCACGTAGCCTTACCGAGGTCGTCAAAACCGCATTCCAGGACATCATCTCCCGCAAGTATCATTGGTTTCCACATCAGCTTTTTCGCCGACTGTCCCCTCTCGCGCCCCTCGAACGGATGTACACAGATGTGTATAACTCTGATGCCATGCTTGAAGAGCACAACGAGATCCAGAAGATGACGCGCCACCCTGACGATCCCCCGGACCTAGAGTATGCAGTATGCGCCCTCACCGTCTATTCAGATTCTACCCATCTTGCTCAATTCGGAACGGCTTCCTTATGGCCCATTCACGTACTCGTTGCAAACCTCTCCAAATATTTCCGCCTCAAACCGACGATGTTCGTGGCACATCATCTCGCATACGTTCCGACTGTACGTCCTCGCGTATACCGCCTGCCTTACGCAGCTGATGTCGCGGCGACTAGGCGCGTAGACTCGGGTCGACGTTCGGCGACGACCCCGTAGGCGAGCGGCGAGGAGCCGAAAGGGGGAAAAGCGAGGGAGAGAGGGATAAACGTATCAGAAAACTCGACGGGGCAGAGCGGCGGGCGGCACGAAGGCACGAGACCGACGAAAGCTAGTCTTCACGCAAGCAGCGACAGACTAGTCCCAATGACCAAGTTATACATTAGCAATCGAAGAGAGATACAACGCTATGGTCACTCACCTAGTCCCAATGACCAAGAGGTCGAGATGGGGACTAGGGAGCGCCTAGGGGGGTCCTTATAT